TCAAAAGCAAAGTTCAAAGTCACCCTAAACCCTAAAGTCACCCTAAACCCTAAACCCTAGACCCTAAAGTCACCCTAAACCTCAAACCCTAGACCCTAAAGTCACCCTAAACCCTAAACCCTAGACCCTAAAGTCACCCTAAACCTCAAACCCAAGACTCTAAAGTCACCCTAAACCTCAAACCCTAGACCTTAAAGTCACCCTAAACCTCAAACCCTAGACTCTAAACCCCTAAACCCTAAACCCTAAATCCCTAAACCCTAAACCCTAAACCAACCCTAAACATGTTAGAGTTCATCCTTGACACTGGCATTCCTTGACACCAGTTCGCGCGCGTGAGAAGCTCCTTCAGGTTTTGAGCTTAGCGGCTCTTGGGTGTGCGAGCTATAGGCTTTGAGGTTTGGGGTTGAGGTTTAGGATTTAGGGTTAAGGGCTTAGGATTGAGGGATAGGGTTTTTAGTGGGGCAGGGTTCGGGGTTTAGGGTTTAGTGTTTAAGGTTTAAGGCTTGGGTTTAGAGTTAGGCTTTTACTGTTTAAGGTTCAGGGCTTGGGTTTTCTGGGCCAGGTGATTTCCTGCAAATTGAGCTCTGATGCAGAAAAGAAGAATTAGATGCTTGATCCCCTGCAGAACAGAATACCTAAGACCTACTTTCAACTGGAAACCTTACACAATTATCAACATGACTCCGAATCAAGACCCTCAACCCCCTTCTGCTTAGCCCCAAAATCTATCAGCCCTAATCCGGAAAACCCATATCTCCCTACACCCTGACCCCCTAAACCTGAAACCGCCCGAACTTGTCCCTACCGACCCTCAACCCTAAACCCATCTCTATCAACCAAGTCCGTAGGTGACTGGGAGAGCATCGGGCAGCCGCCCTCGATCATGGCATGCACCGTCCGGTTTACTTCCTTACTTGTGGAATGTATAGACAGGGGTATTTGGGGTGTAGGGTTTCCGGCGGGGAGCACGGAGTGGACAATTGAATAGAAAAGAACCTGCAACATCAAATGGAAAGGAGGACCTTTTTTTAGGGTTAAAGTACTGCCTGTTTTGTAGGGAAAGGTGGAATGGACAAGAACAAGCCGAAGCTCCTCTGGAGTTTACGGGGATTCTTACATAGTAGTCCTCGTTCGTCCCCAGAAATACCAAGCATAACTTATAACTCATTCCCCCCCTGGCTGCTACCCTTCAGTAAGCTTCTGTGTAGAAAGTGGTCGTCCTGATGTCACCTCAGCTCTCTCGCAGGGTCAAGGGTGCGCAGTCCACGAGCAGTCTAACGAATTTCTACTGTTCTAGTATGAAACTCTTAACAAGCATCTTATCTATGACTGTTATGGGCTGAGGGCGGCATTTTCTGAATGAGTTGCACAAGGCTTCCTCTGGCAACTGAAGGAGGACAACCTTCAAAGCTGCGAAAAACCAGCCACAAGAAGTTGAATCCCATGGGCTACACCCTAAACCCGGCCCAGCATACCAGGTAGTATCCATCAAGAACCCTAAACCCTAAACCCAACGCCCAGTCACGCCCATAGAAGGAAGATACCACCGTAGGGTAGAGAATCCAGAATTTCCTCCAGCCGTCGTCTGGTTGGCGGTCCTTCGCGTCAGGGTTCCTAAATTTGGGTTTGAAGGCTTTAGGCTTGTTGAGGTAATAAAGGAATTTAGAAGCTGCGGCCTCATAAAGCCAAACGGGCTGTAGCATTTAGGGCTGAACACTCCTTTTCTCTGTGGTGGGGTGGGCGCTACCAAAAAACCCTAGATCCAAAACCTTCGAGGGCTTCACCAGGATTCAAGGTTTATTGTGTATGTTTTTCAAGGGTTCCTGGGTTGTACCCCTAAGGTCGTACCCCTAACATCCCTAAAATAGCCCTTACAAGGGCCAATGTAGCTGCCTAGAGAGTCCCTTAAAAGGATCCCAAAACCCAGGGCTTGTGGGTACAAGCCTGAAACCCTTGCAGTTTAGGGTTCAGGGTTTAAATTCCAAGCCCTGCCCTAAGCCTGCCTGGCAGGTGCCACTTTGCAGCATCATCTGGGCCACCTCGGTTTCTTTCCCCTACTGCTGGCGATATAGGGGTATATAGGTTATGTAAGATTTATAGGGGATTACACTGGGTTTATACGGATTCTACAAGGACATATAGGGGAATGAAAGAAGTGGAAACTGCTAGATTTTGAGGGTTTAGAGTTGAGGGTTCTCTTGATGGTGGCTCTGTCGCCGTAGTTAAGAGTTATTAGCTATTGGAGAACCAGATAGACATGGAGAATGAGATGGGAAGTGTGTCAATGTAGGGGCATATAGAGGAACCAAGAAGAAAATGAAAACCTAGACCCGAAACCCTAGACCCGAAACCCTAAACCCTATTTAGAGGCTCGTGCCTTGGTGGCTCTTACTGGTGGTTGGCAGGGAATGGAGGAACATATCCGTAACGTAATCCCCAGTCTTCCGTTGCTTCTTTCCCCGACAACCCTAAACCCTGAAACAATGGCTTCCTTGGCCGACAGAGACGGGTAAATCCGGGTTAGGGCTAAGGGTTTCGGCTTTAAGGCTTGAGGCAAGGGCTGTAAGGGTTCTACATGTATGAAAGAAGGAAAGGTTGGGGTGTATAGGCTGTAGAGGTTCTATATGTATGAAGTAACCAGAGGCTTTGGGGTGACCTTGAGGATTGCAGAGGTTAGCATGAGGGGCTCGTTCCGCAAGAAGCCCAGCTAACAAATCATGCTTCTGTTTTTAGGGCTGTGGGGCCTTGTGCGTCCGCCGTCTGAAGGTGTACTCTTCATCCCTGAGCGTATTTGCAAGTTCCCAGCTTTGACCCTACAAAGGTCCGGAAACCATAAGCCAGCCGCCAATAGACTCTAAAGGGTCAGAAATACAGACTACTTTCCTTCACTTTCCTACCCTATGGGATACTGTGACCTATTGTTTCGTTAAGGCTTTCCAGGAACCCTCAGCTCCCAAACCCCCCAAGTCCAAGCGACTTTCAAGCACACGGTGGCGCAGCCTTGCGCTTCGACCTGTGCAAGGAGGCGCCCAAAGCTTCATCAGCTATGCACACATGTGTGTAGATGCCGAAATCTATTTCTGGAAGTTAGTCTGTAACCGATATGTGGGAGGGTTCCTTGCGGATACCGTCATGGACTCTGAACCCTATGCTTAAATTCAGAATCCAAGGCCGTCGGCCTTGTACCAGGCGGAGCCATATGGAGTCGTACATCCACATGTTTCCCCACAAGTCAAACGCAGTAGTCGCGAGTCGAAATGATCGCAAAGGTCGGCCAGTTCCTCATGCTACGCGGAGTTTTGACTAAGGTGAGAGTACATACCATACCATTTAATCACGCAGCATGTCAGAAGTTGCTGGCGGTCGACTTCCTTGTAGTTCATCTGTACAGGGTTAATTTTCTCAAGTACCCTGCACCTCCAATCTGAACAAACACCTCTGAAATCTTGACATGCTTGCTATCGCCTACCCGTGTCTACCTAGAATCTTTTCCGCAGCGCTCTTGGGTTTCATGTTCATTTGCAGTGTCGAGTGGACTTAGCATCTTTCTCTCCGAGCGCAATGATGATCTTTACGTGACTCATATATGCAATACCAAACCTCCAAGCCTCAATAACCAGGGGGGATTGCTAGGATCCTTGTATATCTAGGATCTCTACATGTATGAGGAAAAACCGAGACTGAACCATTAGAGACTAAATCCTCCCGCCCTGACCTGGGTAGTTTAGGGGTTTAGGGTTAAGGGGCTAGGGTTTCGGATTCCCTCAATGGCGACCATTATGACCCGTAATGCTGCGCTGATCTACAGAGGCCCTCCACTTGCGAGCTCTCTTGATGCATGAAGTTTGACTTAAAATGCAGGTTGCATGGGTTTATGATCGGGTTTGGGGGGATAGTAAGTATATACTAAATCGAATAACATGTTCTGGAGGTCTGTAAGCGATTTCGGGCATCTATTTCCTTTTTTGTTTCGTCCTTGGGGTCCTGGCCCTAGTCGCTCTACATCTCTCCCCAGAGCCCTCAAAACAAACATGAAAATCACCCCTCCCTAGAATTTTAAACACAACCACTCACATTAAACATTCCCTATATACCTTACTTCACCAAAATAGGGATATCTAACATAAGGGGTCGGGCGGGGGGGGGGGGGGGGG